CCTGCATTACCTTCTCTAATCCTTCCTGCTATTTTTTTTCATTTGTTATTATTTCTATTATGTAGTTAAAAAATTTTCATACGAGAACATTATAGTGTCACCAATCCTAAGAGTGTAGTTGGACGCCATTTAATTCAGTACAATAACAACATTTATTGTCTTTGAGCCAACTGTTAACTATAAGGTGTGCATGACCACTGCTCGCGAATAAATATTTAGAGGTGCATAAAGGATCAGCCAAAATTGGACTGCTTCCAAGTGACGTTCCCTCACAATATTATACCCCAAATTGGTAACCTCACACGGATTTGTACACAAAACCTCAGTTACCAATCCTATCACACCATCATGACTGCCGTGAGTGGTAATAATAATAATCACTCAGCCAGCTTGGCCAAAATCCCAATAATGATCTTTGAGTGACCCCCAGTTAAAACACATGGACATATTTAACTGGCAATGATGCTGATGTCTGCCAAGTTTGAAATTAATCCACATAATTTTGTAAGACTATTTATGTTGATATGTTTTGGGTATACACCAACATTACACACATGCCAGAATATAAGAATGCAGGGAGAATTTTTTTTCCCCCCCTGTGACTTTTTCCGTTCATTGAAAACAAAACCCTTGGTTGACACTGGCCGAGGGGTAATGGTTGACACTGGCCGAGGGGTAATGGTTGACACTGGCCGAGGGGTAATGGTTGACACTGGCCGAGGGGTAATGGTTGACACTGGCCTAGGGGTAATGGTTGACACTGGCCTAGGGGTAATGGTTGACACTGGCCGAGGGGTAATGGTTGACACTGGCCGAGGGGTAATGGTTGACACTGGCCGAGGGTAATGGTTGACACTGGCCGAGGGTAATGGTTGACACTGGCCACTGGCCGGGGTAATGGTTGACACTGGCCGAGGGTAATGGTTGACACTGGCCTATACTGGGGTTGACACTGGCATGGTTGACACTGAGGGGTAATGGTTGACACTGGCGTGGTCACTAGCCGAGGGTAATGGTTGACACTGGCCGAGGGTAATGACACCGGCCGAGGGGTAATGGTTGACACTGGCCGGGGTAATGGTTGACACTGGCCGAGGGGTAATGGTTGACACTGGCCGAGGGTAATGGTTGACACTGGCCGAGGGTGAGGCTTGGTTGGCACTGGCCGAGGGGGTTGACACCGGCTGACTAGGTTGACACTAGGGCACTGGCCGAGAATGGTTGACACTGGCCTACACTGGCCGAGGGTACACTGGCCGAATGGGGGCCGAGGGTAATGGTTGACACTGGCCGAGGGGTAATGTGTTGACACTGGCCGAGGGGTAATTGGTTGACACTGGCCGAGGGGTAATGGTTGACACTGGCCGAGGGGTAATGGTTGACACTGGCCGAGGGGTAATGGTTGACACTGGCCGAGGGGTAATGGTTGACACTGGCCGAGGGGTAATGGTTGACACTGGCCAAGGGGATATCAGTAATTTGACTACTGTACTTTCTAGCATAATTAGCTCACACGATAAGACAGGTACGTAGATGGTCGAAGGAAGATAACGCGTTAGACAACTACTTAACGTGAAATTATAACACCTTATGTAACTTGGTAATGCTGTCAACCTTTCATCCTCCGACAAGAACCGAACATTATCACGACATTATTTTATATCATAGATTAAAAAAAAAGCTGAAAGAAATCCCAACAATTCTTCCCCTGTTAACATCACCCAGCAATGTACTTACATTATAAAACCAACTCCACAAGAAAATACAACATATGAAACAACATCTCCCCCCCCCACACACACACACATGAACCGCAACAATATAAGTTATTGTACTACACATCAAAGCAGAGATATTGTCAGTGATGATCTCAGCTCTCCGGCACACACAAACACAAACACACGTGCACCACGACCAACGCTCCACCAAACATTGTACACATTTTCTATAACTCCCAGCAAATTAGAGTTCCGGGTTCATGTTGATCTTCCCAGAAATCTACCTTACATTTTTGGGGGGAGGGTTAACTGTTTCTCTGTGATATTTATACCTTAATCTGGACCCTCACACTCTCTCTCTTTACTGTGTTTATGTTTTAATTAGGATCATTATTTAGCGAGCTTCTGAAAATGGTGTTAAAATGTTCCTTTCTAATGTTAATGATCTCGTGTGTGTGTGTGTGTGTGTGTGTGTGTGTGTGTGTGTGTGTGTGTGTTTTACAAAATCGTTCACAGGAGTGTACACCCTAAACCTTAAAACATACAAACACAGGTGTATAAAAAATATTTTTCCTTAAGCCCAACAACATATGACAGATGACTCGGTAGGGAACAAACACGAGATGTGAGGTGACCTTCACACTACCCTTGTCTACGCAGCACTCGCTGACGACCCCAGCAGCTAGGGACTCCTCATCCCCCTCTTAAAACACACACACACACACAAAACACAACAAACAGAAAACCAAATGTACATACAGAACATTATTAATCCATAAAACGATCTTAAACACACATTACTGTCTCACCTACAAACACAACCCTCCCACATGTTTTATCACCATAAACATACTGTACACCCTTTATACACAAGACTCCTATAGCACCCATAAACATTACCTCCTGCACAAACACAACCCTTCCAACCCTTATACACAAACACTACCATACATAATAAACAAACAAGGGCACATGATACACAAGCCCTTCCCTTCAACACCAGAGAGAGTTAATCTAGGCGCTTACCCACACGATGACACAATGATTCTGGACAGCCTTGACTCTTGACCTTAAAAACCAAGCAAAAATGACATCAAACGGTGGTGTAAAAAAAAAAAACTCACTCACCCGACCAGGATCCAGCCCACATAATTAGCCTTGTACACTCATATCCATCTTAATTACACAGCAACTCATCCAGTACCAAGATCAAACCTAGAGCCACAGCCAAGTCATTAGTGTCAAAGTACATACAGGAGCGAGCATTAAAAACCTTCATACTGACATACCTACACATGTCCCACCCCAGAGTATCTAATGTGCAAAATTTTAATCCATCAGTGGGTATTAACATCCATCAGTCCATCCAAAGAACCAAAATTGTCAGTCTTTATTGAGGTAGTTTTTTCCTGCCTGTGTGTTTGGAGTGTATATACCAGATGAGTCAGTTCTTAACATACCATCCATCACACTGACTAACATACAACTCTCGTCCTACCTCCTCCTTGACAGTAAATCCCATCCATCTGCATATAGCTAGTGTGACATTTTTCACCTACAAGATGCTTTTACTCTCTTCACACACACACAAACTCACCAGTCTAACCTCCACCCACACAAAGCCAACAAAGAACTTTTACCTACATTCACTCAACTGCCCTTACAACTCACTTAGCCACCTACCTGTGCACCACCCATCTACCCACTTTTATGATGCCCTCCTCACCCACCTACACACAACTAACACACTACTGCACACACACACACACACACACACACACCTGCAACACACATTACAATGCCTTCCACCTCACACAAACTTGGGCCACAGCTGAAACTTTGGCTTGGGTGTGGTTGCTTATAAATGGCTGCGAGAAATCTAGAGACAGAGGTTAAGAAGCAGTATAATCTATTTATGTCATCAAACATTCTTCACGAGTAGCTGATGGCTAAATTTGTTCAACATCAAGAGGTCTGTCTCATCCATTTGTGTTCTCCCCCCCCCCCCTCCTAACTAAAATTTCTAAAAATATCTGCCTTAAAAAGTACAGTCGAAGAGAAAGGGAGCATCTTCTTATGACTGCAGCTTAAGATTTTGAGTAAATAAACTGAATTTGATAATATTGGATTTTCAAAGCTGAAGTGGGAAAAAAAGTGAGAAGATAAAGTAAGATAATAATTATTTTTTTTATTGAAGTAGCATAAGAGAACATAGGTGTACATGAAGTTAAATGAAGAGTTCAAGACATCATGAGCAAAGAGGTGGGCTAAAATGAGTTAACAGGAGTCAACACAAAAGTTCTTATAACTTCTTACTATACAATGGTTTTTTGAGATGCGCAAAGGTAGAGGTTAAGGAGATACATCCCAAATCCACTCTATCCCTTTCACTACAGGGATGCCACCTTTAACCACCTCAATGCTAACCTAGCCTAGCCTAGCTTAACCTAACCTACACTAGCCTAGCTTAACCTAACCTACACTAACCTAGCTTAACCTAACCTACACTAGATTAGCTTAACCAAACAAATTTCCCTAGGTAGCATTAGGCTGGTTAATATCTTATTTGGCTACCACGAGATGAATGTATTCAGCTCAGAGTCGACCCCGTACACAAGGCGTCAATAATGTGGCAAACATAAAACTACACAAATTAAAAAAAAAAATACAATAAAATATAATAATAATAATACAACAACTCATTCTTGTAAGCCCCTTCTTATTTCAGTACAGGGAGGGAACGGAACAGTATCCAATTGTCCCGTCTGTGATATTTATTGTTGAGGTGTCTTGCCTGATGTGCTCACCTATGGTCCCTCTTCCCTTATAAGACCCCAAGATACCCATCCAGTTTACCAATATCAACAACCACCACATTTTCTAGATACAAATATAAAAGTTAAGAGGTTGATATAACAGCTGTAGTGACGACTCGAGTATCAGTAGCAGGTAACGTGTTCTCTCATACACAATACATAAAGCACAACATATTTGACGACAACATATAAAAGCTCATTGACAAGACAACAGTGAATCTACCGAAGCCTGATGTTTATACTGTACGTTAACAGAAGCTCTGAAATAATTCCCCAAAATAATTTCCATATCCCTCTCATAAACATACATTACATGCCAAATATAAACACCACTACAAAGAACACACAACATAACAAAAAAGACAGAAGATAAAAAAGATAAATCACTGACTGTCTGCTACATAAAAGCGTACAAACAGAAAAAAACCAGAATGAGAATAAGCAGAAGCAAGAGCAGCGTACTCACCGGCTTCTCTTCTTCCTCTTCCTCTTCGCTCCCTTCATCCGCCTGCTGCTGTTGTTCTGCCGAGCGCTGAGCTCTTTTCTCAGGGTCTATATCCTAAGATTCGAGACGTAAGCATATATTTAAAACCAAATCAGAAAAAAAAGAAAAAAAGAAATATAAAAAGCAACTACCTTCCAAATCATTGAAAATATAAAAAGAAAACAAAATCAACCTCCCAAAGCAAACTGAGTCTTGTGCTGTACTTACATCTATATTAACCTGAACCCGACCCGTAGAACGTCTCTTAGGCTTTTTCCGTCTCTGTATTGCCGCTTGTGTGCCTTCCCTCGTTTGTGAGTTCCGCTCGCTCTCCTTGTCTTCATCTGCAGTGTGAGAGAGATGGTTCATAGCGTAAATACATTGTAGATTCCAACTTGATACTCCACAAACACTGTCAAAATGGCAGTCTATATCCAGTCTCTACTTCAAAAAGATAGCAGGGAGAGGAGGAAGAGAGGAGAGACAAAACGTAAGGAAGAGGGTAAATAAGGGGTAAGAATAAGAGAAGAAGGAGGAGGAGGAGGAAGAAGAGGAGGGGGAAGAGAGAGGAGGAGAAAGAAGAGGAGGGGGAAGAGAGAGGAGGAGGAAGAAGAGGAGTGGGAAAAGAGAGGAATTACAGTACCCTGATCACTCTAAACCACAACTTACCGGCTTTCTCCTCTGTATTCTTTCTCCTCAGCTGGACAGTGACTGTTTCAGTATCGTTCTCCACTTCAGCTTTGTCTTTTGATCGCACATTCTCTAGGGAGAACTGTAAGGCAATGGCTCATCTTATAATTCAACTGTATAATACCATTTCATCCTATAATATAACCTACAGTAAATATCCTATCTATCTGTTGATTTTAAACCTGACAGTAAACACAGAAGTTCAATTAGATTTATGTTTTTCTTGACATTTCATAATTTTCATTCTATTCACACCTTTTATACTTTCTTGTAATTTCCCCTTCTCATTATTCCTGTTTCAGGCAGGAATTTGCCGATGTTATTTATTCCCATTAAAGGTCAAGTTAAAAAATTAGGTAATCTTCACATATTCCATAGTAAAATTTATATTATTTTATGAGGTGTTATTTGGTCTTTGTTAGTAGATGGTAAAAAAAATGGTCAAGTATGTTTGGCCATAAAAAAATACAAGGATTTCTGTACTTCCACCAAGAATAAAAAAAGTTACGCACTTAAAATATTAAAACTTTGGATGTTAATACAGTACTTAATTTCATACATACACTATCAACTTACCCTATTCTTATCAGCATCATCCACCTTCAACCTCCAAGATGGGCGCCGTTCCTCTTCATCTGCTTTGGTGGGTGACTCAGGCTTTGGCTTGGATGATGGTGAGGATGGGGTGGTTGTGGATGATCCTTGTGGGGTGGAGGTGGGCACAGTTGATGCAGATGAAGTTTCCTTGGGCTCTGGACTAGATGTCTGTGGCAAAAAAGGATATAACATTTGCTGCATCAGTCTAATCTAGGGGAAAAAAAACCTGACTGATTCAATGTATATAACAAAGTACTGTAGTGATATTTTATTTAACCACTGTAGATTTCTTTACGCTTTACTCTTACTTAATAACTTCTAATTTTCAATAATTCTTTTTCCTAAGAATGTGGAGTTGCAAAATAAATGTAGGAAAGAAATGACAGTGCAAGAAAAAGGCAATATCATTACTGTACTTTACCTATGGCCAGTCAGGCTTCTATAAATGCCTGAAGGAAGCCCGAGAATGTGCCAGGCTTCTATAAGTGCCTGAAGGAAGCCCGAGAATTTCTACACTATCTCTAATTTCAGTTAACCACATCCATCAGCATTACTTAAAAAAATAAATAAATCAATGTTGCTGAGATCCCAACAATAAGTAAATATTAGGAATTTTTCAAAGTGCAAAAAATTCTTCAAAAATATCCAACTATGCAAAACTTATCAACCATACAATTGCAAGAAAGGCCATCATCTTTCCTTTAGTAAATCATACATCCTCCTCTGTCACTTTCCTATTCTTCAACAACACTCTCTGACAATACATCTTCTAGTATTTTATCATCACAGTTGGTCAGGATTGTTTATGCTAAGAAATTTACCTCTTTTGTTATTTGAAACTACTCGATGACACATTCAGACTGACTGCTATGAGGAGCTACAGCAGTTATAGAGAGAACAGAGCATTGTTATTTTGTCCACAAACTTGACTTCTACATAAAAAAGTACAGCCAGCTAACTACAGTATTTGAGTTTAACTACTTGTTGAATAGAATCATTCAGCGTTAGTCATATAAAATACCAAGATTGGCGTCCCCAAAGTGAAGGGGTTGACTATTACTTACAGACACCTGCTGCTGCTTATTCTTCATGAACTGCTCGGCAGATTTGATATCCTCGAGGGTGACCCCCTGCGTAGATCTCCGGGTTGACCGTACCATCTTGGCGTGGGCTTTTCTCTGGGTTTCACTCTCCTCATCACGGCTCGGCGGCACAAACGACCTAGATGAATGCACCAGGCTACACATCAGGTTACACAGCGTTCCCACCGCCCAATGTGACGCCGAAGTCAAACACAACACAGACTCAGCCTTTGCCATTACATATTGTATTAAATATAAGTAATTGCTTTAGTTAACTATATTTTAACAAATATTATTCAATGTTACTACTATGCAGTAAAAAATACCAATTCCAGTAAATTAAGCAAAAAAACTTCAAATTCATTCTAGCTAAAAAAAAATAAAAAAATAAAAGGGATTCATTATCAACTACTGTACAGTATATTTACTGAAGACAGCATTTAAAGTGTCCAAAAAGTCTGTGCAGTGATTGACCTGTTTTGTTAGCACACACAAGGCATCAACCACCAACGACGAGCAAGTGAGGAACATCGACTTAGTTTACTCAAGTACATACATCAATTGCCATCTATGGGGAATATACACCTTTGTTTATTTTCACAATGTTTAAGATTTCCTCTGGAGAAAACAGCAGGGCTAATCTGAAGATATTTGGGCATACAAATCCACAATAATCTTTCTGAAGCTGTAGAGCATTTTCTGCAGAGCCTTCTTTGGGTAAACAGTTGTAAAGGTAATACAAAACAATACATCCCCTTCAACCTATTGAAAAGATCCCATAAAGGTAGTGAGGGCAGGTCAGGTAAGGTTACACAATCAAGTTTTTAAGAATTAAGCTTTTAAGTAGAATTAACAGAAGCTATTAGCATTAATGATACAGCAAAGTTAACTGTTCAATTTAAATGCCATTCTCAAGAGTCAAGAAATGAAAGCCTTTCAAAATGGAGTCCAGTTACATAACAGATCAAGAAATAATATCTGGCAATAAAATCCAAAGAAATTTATTAAAGCCACAGATATAATATATATATAATTTTTTTTTAATTCATATACATGTACCAAAAAATATCAACAAGCAAACATTTTCATTCATAAAATTTTATTATAAAACACCAGAAAAATGTATAATTTCTATTTATTGTAAAAATAGTGTGTGTCAAAACTTCAGCTCTAAAAAAAATGCTGTTGAAAGATGAAGAATAGAAAAGAACATGCCTTTGGATCAACAAAAAGCTCTATCCTACAGTCTTACCTAAATACTATACAGTACTTTCATTGGTGGCAAGTATCTGTTAAAGCGACTTGGTTAAAGAGGCACATCAAACAAATATCATGCCAGTTAGTTGAACAATCAGATAAAAAATCAGTGAAATAAATGAAAGAGCAGTCATTCTCATGGTTGGCAGGCGTACGCACTTGAAGAAATTCTTTATGACACTGCCCGGACTCATTTTGGACGGCGTGGGGGGCTGTGCTGAGGAGGGGGTCTGAGGCGGTGGTGGTGTAGACGGTGTGGGGGACGTAGGGGGTGTTTGAGGTGTTACAGTAACAATGGGAAGGGAGGTTGTTGCTGTGGGGGAAGGAAGGTGCTGCTGGTTAGGTTGTTTAGGGGGGATGGAAAGGGTTGGTGCAGTCTTAGGTGGTGGAGGGAGGGCAGTCAGCCCCCCGTTGGTCGTGAGTGTGGTCACGTTGCTGCAAGAGATGATGTTCCTTGAGAACACCTCACAACTATTCAACACGCATTCCTCTTTATCAATAAATCTTACAATTAACTAAGAGTTTAGCTATTTTCCTAACATACTTAAAAAGAATTTAGAATGGTAACCAATGGACTAATTACTTCTCAACTGTTTAATATTGCCATTCTGTGCTATTAGTTCAGTATAGAGTGTATCTGTGGGAAGTAAAACTTGATCACTATTTACACCAACACAAATACAGTATCTCTATCATTTTTTTTTTCTGTAGCAATCAATACTTAGGTGTGGGATATGACTCCTTAACAGTCGTGTGTTTCTCGACCAACACGAAATACCTACAGTAATAGAATTATTGCCTTTGATATCCTTTTAATGAATGTCAAACACAAGCAGCTACTTATATCGATACAGAAACGAGACTTAAATCATTTCCCTTTTACCACATAATCAATAGAATAAAACAAAAACTTATTAACCTTACAAAAATTGGAAAAATAAATAAATAAAAAGGACCAGTACTCCCAACATAAGCTCTGTAGATGTTACGAGTGCAGGGCGAGATGACTGACACGAGAACTCACCTGCCAATGGAGCGCGTGGAAGGTGAGGTGTTGGTGGTGAGGACCGTGCTGGTAGAGACGAGGGGCTCCATACTATCCATGTGATTCCTGAAGACATTAAGAAGTCACATCCACATCCATTCTCTCTTCACACTTTATAATTCCTTTAAGAAGTTTGATAATTTGCAAACCTAACCAAACCAAACTTTAAAAATTAAGAGAAGTTTAACAATTTGCTGACCATTTCATTTACTGAAAAAAATTCTCTCATACAACACACACTTAACTCCCAATTGAATGGGGTCAAACTGAAGCACCGAGCCTTTAATGGCAATGGATTGTTAAAAAAAATCACACTGCTCTTTAATGATCATTGTACATTAACAGATCTGACTTAACTGGTGTGGCACTCCGTCTTGGCTCTATAATCAAAATACCAAGATACTTAGGGAGGAAATACTGTAAAATGCAAAAACTAATATGTAATTATAATCTATAGTTTCTTCTTATATATATTCAATGTAGTCTATCTTACATAACTAGCGCCAGCAGGGATGCAAAAAAAGAAAGAAAAACGAGAAAACAAAAAATTGCTTCTCAACGTTTCCTTAAACCACATTTTTTTTCCTTTTGGTTGTAAAATCTGAAGCAATACAATCATGAGATTAAAGAAGCGATAGTAAGCATCTCGACAATTAGCATGGAACAGTTGCTTGAGAAAAAGAATACAGAATAAAACGAATCATTCCAACAACAATAAAATAACACTGTTTCTGAGGGGCAATAGAAGAAGCTGAAAGAGTAATGAAGATATACTGTACATGAATAAAGGGGCAATGATGATACAAGACTGAAGGGGCAATGACTCAAGGGGTAATGAAGATAATGACTGAAGGGGCAATGAAGATACATAGCTGAGAGGATACCAGTGGTAAAATACAACAGGACAGCAAACATGGAGATCAATAACTCAGTGGAAGGAATTTCAAGTCATAAATCAAAATCACGAAGGACTTGAGCGACAACTTACAGCACAACACTATTCCTTGCAGAATATGATCTGATAAACAACCTACTGACCCTCCACAATATCTATAACAGGCTTTCATTTTGATCTTCATTCCTGAAAGCCTTAATTTGCTCTCATTCAATCTTCTTAACTGTCTTAGATGCTTAAAACTATAGCAACCAAACTTTAAGCTATTTCATTTGAAGGAAAATCTCACTGATTTTGTGAAAAACAGATACTTCAATGATTAAAAAATCAATCAAACTACAGAATGTGTAAATCAACACAAGTAATCCAATGATTCACACAAAAGATGACTATAAAATTTCACTGTTCTATGCTCGACACTTTTTACTTGATTCTGTTAATGCACAATAGTGGGATAGAAGCACAGATAGACAGACTGAAGGATAGGTACTGGTCATCATGCCCCGATACAAACACAGAGGGCACAGAAACATATCTAAGGTTATGGAGGGGTCTGATGGAAGCCTATTTACATGCCAATTAATATGCCTCTACACAGAGAACTTTATATATCTGAGAAAGATGATTACATAACTGATTTTAAGTGCTCAATGGATCTCATCAAGAGGGATGTGTGAATAAGAGGTCTCTGCAAACAGGATGTATTAATACAAGTGCTCAAGGTCAGATCTCTTGTAGGAGAGTTGTGTAAGAAAGTGCAGTGAAGCATTTGGAGTACTAAGATAGATGTGTGTCGGGAATATATACTATGAAAAAAAGCACGATACAAACACTAATAAAAAAGAGTATGGAAAATTGCCTAAATACACTGCGAGCATCTTAAGGGATACTATTACTATCGTACAAAAAATAAAATTGGCGACTTTTAAATAGAAGTATAGACCCAAACCAGGGGAAAAGTTCCAGTGAGTATTGAGGAATGTACAACACATTTCTTAGAACATGTGCAACAGTTTCAACTGAATTCATGGAAAATTATTGACTGGGTAAAATGTTACACCTCCAACACTGGACCTGAGCCTACCTTCTCAACTGTATAAATGAGAATTATGCCATTACAGTATGTGTATACTCTGACAGGGAGCTCAATAACAGCTTTGATAAAATAGGTCATTATAAGTTTTTGAATGAGTTCCAGGATTACAAATTTTGAAATGACCAATTTTTTTTTAATGCCAGAGATGTCAACAAAGTTAGTCCTGAAAGTAAGTCCATACAATAAAATTTTATAAGAAACTAACATATCAAGTTTTTGTTGAGTTTAAAATGAAACCGTCCAATAAAATGAGTGTGAGGTGTTCCACAGCTGGAGGAACACCTAATACAGTTGGTAAGGCAGGTGATTCTGGCCTACAAAGAACCCTAAAATTTTGATCAAAATTGGGAAAGATGCTGAATTTTAGCATATATGATATGACAACAAATCAGAATTGTAGCTCCACAAAATATGCTCTGTTGATAAAAATATCTACCAAGTTTGATCAAATAAATATAAACTTTTTTTTGCATAGTTACATTTAATAAAAACAATGCAACTTCATAAAAAGTGTGAATCGTTCTTGTCTTCAAACTCACTAGTGCATTCATGCCAGCAGTAATCCTGCCAAGTATGAACTAAAATCAAATAAAAAAAATAGATACACCTTAAAGGTGTAAGCAATTCCAGTCAATTGGAGTCCAGCAAACAATTCTTCAACCACATTCCATATCCAACTATGTATATGGGGGAAACAGGTGCACCAGACAAAATAATGGGAAGAAAAAAAAAAAGAGCAGACTTTAATATTAAAACTAATGATGTTCCTCCAGATTCACAACAGGTCAGGTGTGAGGGGCCCCTAAAAACATCTAATTCCTCCATGGAAACAACACAGTATTCACATAAAAAAAAAAAAACCTAAATTGATCCTTTATAATTAATTTTCATTAACTTGTTGTGGAAGGAGATCATACAGGAGTCAGGGGCTCAGTAGTGCTCTTAGGAACTACGTACTGTAATCTATCCTGAACACAGTTAATTCACCAACATTATTTAATATACAACACAACAAAGAGTTTACATAAACCTTATTTATACTTTCATCCTTAAATCAAATTATGTGATAAAATCTTTCAGGATTTAAATGTCGCGTCTGGGGCGGGGGAGGGGGGTGGTGTTACTCATTCATCACCGTAAATCCATTTATTCTCTAGTTAAGTTCTTATCTTATTTAACGCACTCTTCTTTTTTTTCCCAATTTCAGTTTGAGGTACCTGTTCCACCCCATCATAGAATATTCTCTGCATGATCAAGGCAACATCAATCCAACAAATTTTGATTATTAAAAAAAAAATACATAAAATTTGCTGCTCCAAAAAGTTACAACCAATCAGACTGCAGCAACTGAATTATATATGTGTAGATCCTCCTCATCTTGGAACTCTGCATAGTCTGGCCAACATCATTCCTACCAAGTCTGATAAAAATGAGATATGGGACTTTAATACGTAAACAGTGACGGGCAGAGGGACATCAATAGGGTGTTAGAAAAGTCCCAGTGTACCTGTAATAATTAACAGTACAGTATAGCTATTCCTTGTTATATCCACACTGTTATATACTGTATCTTGTTCTACTTACAGTAAATATTGGATATGGTCGCTGTAAAGTGGTATAACAAGGCAGTTTTACCTTTAATTATTGTAGGTGTATATGAACTTTTCTAACACCCTGTATAATACAATTGTTTGCTTGCCAATGTCTAGAAGTAGTAAGGTGGTGTTTTAAAGAGAGAAAACCAATTGAAAATAAAGAATGTATGAATGAAATAGAATGAAATACATCAACATGAGGAAACCGTCTGTGTATGGTACCTATAATTAGAGACGGGAGAGAACCTTCAATGTAGAGAAACTTCTCGAGATGTGTAATCACCCCATAGTTTAGAGGAGGTTTTCTGAGACCTCATGTTGTGTACAGTATCATGAAAATAGTACAGTGTCCTCAGATATCACATTGTTTGAAAGTTAAATATGTAATGAGAAGCAAGGGTTAAAAAATGTTCATCTGAAGTCTGAGGAAAATATTGTAGGGTAATCTACCCACAATCACAAGTATAACCTCTAGTGGCATAACTATAACGATAACACATCTACACAGTGCCCCATCTTACATATACCAGAGCATGTGTACAGTAAATCAGAATATAAAAACTTAATTTCCACTTTACATTGTTTCCTTGAAGCCTAAATATGCAATATAAAAAACCATATACACAGTGCTTTAATTACTTGCCAACATAATGGAACAAAAGACAAACTACAGCCACAGGTGATGTACAGTAACTAGCTGTAAACTATCATGAAAGATAAAGGAATAAGTTTGCAGAGGATGAAGTCAGCTTGCAAGTGTTTAGAAACTTATCAGAAAGTGGTAGCTTTTCCTTCACTATAATGAATGATATTTAGACAAGTGTGAAAGAAAGGGGTGATTAATTCTGCACAAACATACAGCAGAATCAGCATAAAATGAAAAAAAATGAATAATTGGAAAATATAACTAGGAGTTTGTTAAGTTTAAATTACACTGCAATGTTTAGTGGCACATGTAACAGAAGACCGATATTAAATTATGTTCGAGACAAGCAAATGGGAGACTACCAATATGACTTGAGGGACACTGGGATGGAGAGCAAGCTTGTATAAAGAAAACAAATCACAATAATACAAGGAGTACTGTACTCTCAACATACACATTAGAAGGGTTTACTCTGCAGGGTAATAAGGGACAACACATCAGAAGCTTACACATCAACTGATAAAATACAAACACAGATAGATAGGATGAAAAAAATTCTTTAATCTATTCCCACATATTTCAATACCACATTCATTTTGTTTTACACCGTTTCACTTCACCAAATTTTGAACAATTAAATGCGACGTGTAATGCAGTAGACCTAAAGGATCCAAAATTAAACTGCACAAAAGGAAATACATATTTATCAAGTAAAAATGCCTTACAAAAGTCAGAAATTCTGCAAGAGTAAGAATGGTATTATCAATTACGTCAACACCGTACAGCCAAGAGTGTTGTTCTAAAAAGCAATTGGGAATTTAGTTATATTTTAGCCGTACGTACTTTGCTGGCAACAGTGTATATTCTCCGAGTGATACACCGGCATTAGTTAAAGAAAGCAATATCTACGAGGCAACAACAGCAGCAGTAGGAAAGTTGTTACTGATGACACATGAACACAATAACAGAGCTTTATATGTATGCAAAAAAATAATAACAAAAAAATAATAAAAATAAATAAATAAATAAAAGCCTTATCATATTCTTCAAAAATGTATGATTCTCCAAAACAAGTAAATAAAGTAAAAGAAAAGTAAAATAATACCGTTTGACACGACAGTACAGTACTGTATTTAGGAGCACCTTTAATATTTGGCTGATCCTGGACTGAACTGTAAACATTCTTTGCAGAAGAAATGATAAGGAAGGCTTTAAAGCAACCTGAAGAAGAGTTTAAGAAGAAGATCCAGACATCAAGTAAAAAGGAAAAAATAGATTCTCAGATGGACATAGATCACTTGGTCGCTGATATCAAACAACTGATGATTAGCTGACTTTATCTGCTAGCAAACCAGTCCACATCATCGATCTCAACGAACAGGGGAGCTATCTATCTGGAGAATAAATTTTCAACAACACTGCAAAAATACAAGAAACTTTCTCAAAAAAGCCTTGAAGCCATAGACAAATACACTGTTAAGCTAGGATGCAGGAACCATACCTCTGAATGCGTTCTCTGAGGGATGCGGACCGTGCCAGCAGTCGGGGGTCCTTGTTGTTAGTAGTTTGGTTAGTAGAGAGAGAGGCCAGGCCAGCAGTTGTGGTGGTGGTAGTGGTGATGGTGATGACGGTGGTGGAGGAGGAGGGGGGTACGGATGGAGGTATTGGAGGTTGTAAGGGAGGAGGAGGAGGTGTCAGGATGGGAACAGGTGAGGCAGGAGAGGAGATTGAAGGCCCTAGAGGTCTGTGAGGCGTGGTACATGTGGTTGTTGTTTGTGTTTCTGATGGTGATGTTGGTGTTGTGATGGTTGTTGTTGCTGTTGTGACAGTGGTTAATAAATTATTTGCTTCAATGGATGAGGATACAGGAGGTGTAACTGCAGGGATGGTGGAGGCGGCTGTGGTTAAGTTCGTGGATGAAACTGTACTTGATGGATGAGTGGTAACAGGAGCAACGTATGTGGGAGTTGTGGTAGCTGACTGGTTATTTGGTACTGGAAAAAGACTCGGAGATGAGAGAGGATTAGGATGATTCTGTACCGAGGGCAGGTTAATGTCTGAGGACGAGAGGCGCTGACAAGTCGCCAGGGATGAGGGTGAGGACAAGGCAGCGGAGGAGGAGGCAATACCCCCTGAGCGGGACTGGGATCGGGTGGTAACCCGCACCCCACCTCCTCCGTCCCTCCCTCCCTCCTCCTCCAACTGACTGAGAGCCGGGCATGACCGCGCCTTGAGTCTCTCTCGGGTGGCACTCAGAGAGCTAGAAACATAACAAAACATCCACCATGCAACAGTAGTTACACCTTACTTCATGCAGCCACCACGCAATATGCAAGATTGCAGAATGGATTGAATACACATGTAAGTCCAGTTATAAACTGAGTTTAAACAAGATAAAACACTATACAGTATAAAGTATTGCCCTGTTATATAAGCAGTAACATGAACAAAATTTTAAAAATTAATATTCCATCACAAAACTCCTTATACAGTACATACACACTTATTACATACACATGCATGCATACATCTACATGTATGCATACAGGCACAGGCACATGCACACAATTGCACAGGTGTCATAACCAAAACACGCATACCTGCACACACACACATAAACCTACGCTGACAATGACTCCAAGAAAAAATTGAACACCCATGTAAAACAGCAAGTGATGAAAATTGTCATCTATATTATTGTACAAACTAGGTAACTAATTTCTCTAGAATCTACAGAAGCTTTGCATAATCTACGTACAGTATTGTAATTCCTGTCAAGTGGGCATTCTACAATACTATATTATGCTTTTAATATTAAGATTACCTGTACTTAAATATATGAATATTTATTAGTGGTGCAAGCTTTTGGTTATCAGGACTGTGGACATCTAGGGTAAATGGTTGAGTCCTGGCCATGGAGTTTTATGTACAGTACCGAGCCATCAGGACTACGGGACTTAACCTCACTGGAACAGAGTCCTTTTCAATGTGTAGTCTTCATTTTCTTCATACACATTTTATTACTTCACACAGTGGTAGAACCACAACTCCTCCATTAACTGCTTCACTCATGGACAAACCTTAAATTTAATTTCCTTGTCAACCTTGATATGAATTTTATGTCAACACAACAGCACTGTTGGAACATAAGCTTCCACCTCTTACTGTGAGGTTCATTAATCCAGGTAAAAGTCGGTATTCACTTTGTGTAATGAATATGCAAGTTAAGGATAGAAGCATGTATATGTGAAGTATTTCCAATCATTGTCTTTTGTCTTTTTCTACCCCTTTCTACTCCTACCTCTAAATTATTCTCAATTACTACTGTAGCTCCTCTTTTAATAAGGTTTCTGTTCCCACTAATCCATCAACACAAAAGTGGAAGAGGAGTAAGGCAACAGACACTTACACAGATATATTTACAAACTTGACATTCATATAACTCTGAACCTTTCCCAACTAACTTCCTAATCCTCCACATCATCACTTGATTCTCAACACAACATTACCAACTCTTTAGCCTCTTTTCTTTTTACTATTTTATATCTTACCTTTAGCTCTATTTGTTACACCTATCGGCTTTTCTCACTTCATCCACTATCAGATTGGTACCGACTTCATTACTCAGAACCACTACCAGACTGGTGACAATACAGAAGGTACAGTACAGCCAATATCAACAACACCTCATCTTGCCTGGAGTCAACAAAATGCAATACCCCTTAAGGTGAATTCGTGCTGAAGACCAAATTTTCATAACCATAATAAGATCAAACACCAAACAGGCTTGACGATCAAAATTAATAATGTCAAAACTATATTTCTTCTTTTCACTCTATCAATTTTTCATCCACTATGATGTTGGGAGGCAAAAATGAAGAGAAAACGGACTCTTCCATAACTTGCTGTCATTCATGATATCAGATGTGTGCTACTATGATGCCCCTATGAGACCACATCCTTACCATACCACTTCTATATTCCCACATCACACCCCTACCACACCACATCCCTACCAAACCACATCCCTACCACACTACATCCTTACCACACCATATCCCTACCACACAACATCCATATTACATCACATCCCTACCATACCACATCCCTACCACATCACACCCTCCCCTAAAATATCATCACACTTCATGCTCTGCAAACCAAAATTCATATCTAAGATCACATAATAATTCCTACATCCAATTCAATACATTCTGCAATCTGCAAGCCATTAATAAGAAACACTCAACCCACCATACTGCCTTTTTCTTTACTGATAAAATATATATATTTATATATACAGTATACAAACAAATATAAACATCTTTCCATTTCTTTAGTGACTCTACAAAATGAATGGAATATATACACTCATATATGTATCTTTATCATTACTATACTTAAGAAGACAGTAAGAGCACAACATGCAAATCACAAATATGATAAAAAATAATTACCCAAAACAGTAAAAATTACAAAGGTAATTATTTTTCAGCAGCACTAGAATCTACTTAAATGTAACTTTTAAAGAGTAGTGCACAAGGAGAATCTTTAATGTGTACACAGTTTAATACCTGTAACATTCACTTAATCACTCACTCACTCCCACATCCAACTCTTACAAACCATAAAACTCACTAAACACACCAGCTGGCTCTAAGCTGGAATGTAGATCTCATGGACTAAGAAGTTAGGTCCTTTAAAATGGTGCAACCATTATTAGTGTTTAGGGAACTAACATGGCAGTAGTCATAAGCATGGCACCATACTACTTTGGAGCCCCAGGTTCACTCTCTGGCCAATCAAGGCAGATTCTCAGAACAACTCTGATCAAGTAGCCTGGTAGAAGAAACCTTAACTCATATTACCCTACACTAAAGTGAAGGCTGTCAGTCTACCAGGGAGAGAGGCCTCCTATATGCAAGAGACAATTTGTTACGTAAGATATATACACAATATTGCCAACTGTGACCACTTTCTTTGGTGTACACACAAACACATACATACAGTACACAAAGGCAAAACACAAACATGCTCAGGAACATGCGCACACACACTCCCTGTCTTGCTATCTGGTCTGGAACCTTGCTCTACATCTCGTCATTCTTCCGATTCATAAAGATTTTGGCCATTCTTTTCCCATATGTGAACCATCATCTTAACACTCCATCTAATCTTCTCTCAATCCTTCCCTTGATATTTTTTTTTCTCATCAAATTCCTCATTACTTAATCTGTCCACTGTATTAACTAGGAATCCTTTTCTTAGCAGTTTCATCAGTATAACTTCAGTCTTGCAAGCCCTTTCCCCATTATGATGCAAGGTGGCCAGAATTAAAAGCAACACAGATTCTCTCATTCGCTGTCATTTAATCTTTTTTGTTGCCTTACCTGATGTGTTCTGCTCTGGCATCCCACTTCCTTATCCCATTTTCAATTTTATTGCTCTAATGGTTCAAACTCTGTAATCCAATTCCTCTCTGACACATATACCCACCTTGATCTTTTTATTAACATTCAATCATCTCGCTATATACTGTACACTGTACAGTACTGTAATCACCTAAATTTAAGTACAATTCACTCCTAAACATGAATCTCTGAACTCCTACCTGCAGCTGAACTCTTGTACAACCACTTTTTTTCACCTGAAACTTTTATCATTTGCAACATGCACTAAACACCATTCTCTTTTATCAAACTTCAACTAAATTTTGCAATACATTCTTTAATTATAGCATTACCAGGAACTGCTTTTGAAACTTTTTATTTTAAGAAATAAAATACTGTACCTAATCCAGTTACATCTGTCAATAATTATTCCCAAGAATCACACAAGTAAAATTCTCAAGACTGTAAAGACAAACAATTATCAAATGGGAATGAAAAATCTTCACATGGGAAAATATATATACTGTGACATACAAGACACAGAAGGTGACAAATTAACAGCAAGATGACTACAGTATGTTCTCATTTACAGAGACCAAGGAATTAAAATATTTCCCAAATATTTACTGGACTTTGGGCTGAAAAAAGGCTTGCATCTTTCAATTGTTTCACTCTCAAGAAACAAGACCTGACTGGGAGGCAGTTTTGAGCCTTGATCATTCTACTGTTAGGTCATTCCACAATGCCAGTCAACTAAGGCCCTAAAACTGTACTGTTATGGTTTGAGACACACATACAATACACACAGCACTAAGACACCCCCTAAAAAAAATCTTTATTTTACAATAACTCTTTAACTAAAACACTTGTTTATTTGATGTAAACACCAACAGCAACAAGATAAAGGGATACTGATCAGATTACAAGTACGTACTTATGATTTACCTTCTCTTGATCAGTCCAACACAAAACACCAAGTAACACATACCTCTCGTCCTTCTCAGCTGGAGTGACCCTCTTCCCTGTAGTGGTGTCCTCACTTTCTCTGTTGCTCACCCGTGCTGGAGTTGGTATAGTTCGAGAAACTTCTTCTTTTTGGTCTGAATTAGAGATATAAATTCCATGAGAATAAGGATTAATGTAAAAATAACTACAAAGTACAATTAGGCAGGGAGCTTTATAGTGGCCATAGGTATCATTGTTCTTCAATTGAAAAAAAAAATATATTTATAACCACTTTTCTCTTCCATGCTGTTTCCAAGCCTTTATCTAAGGTTAACAATAGTTACAAAATTACAACGGGTGTCAGGGCATCTGAAGTTTAAGCATAGAACAGTAATCACTCCCCAATTCCAAATAATGGGAGCTAAAGCCTTTCTGGATTAGGGAGGAAACCATATTAAGTAGATTTTTCCATATATGTTGAACTATTGGATCTAAACATAGTGTCTATTTACAGTAACAATTCAAACAGACTCCTTGTCACACTAGGTTTCACTAATGTTATATACAGGCTTTACATTTCATTATAATCTGCTCTGCACCATCAAACCCTGAAAGGTTGCAAAGGAAACACTTTCACATATGAATTAAGTCGCATACAACAATAAGAACTTGCCATCATCTAAACAAAACAAATATCTCTGTAAACAAACACAAAAACCCACTTTTGTCTTCTTGATTTGTTTTTCTCAGAGATGACGGTCTTCTCCATGACTGCACTTCAGATTCGTCCATAGTGTTGTCTGCTCGGGCCTGTGGAAGTGTTCGACTGTTGCTCTTCTCTGTCACCACACTAGTGGGAATGATCTGTGGGGTGGCATTCTCCTTATTCACCTTGTTCTTCTTCTCTGTAATTGCAACAAAATAATATCAATATATGGTATAACCTTTGCTGAAGAATTCCTAAATGTTGAAGATATTAAAATAACTTGTCTGAATATGATCACAATCTTATCTCTAGGTAAACTACAATAAATATCGGTAAATATTAAAATATTAAGTGCCATGCTATGAGAAGCCTTAATATATATTAATTTACAACACATTCCATTTCTAATTTTAAAAAAACCCAAATTATAATAGTAAAAACAAAATTTACATCTACTCACAAAACAGTGTTACAGTACCCGGAATCTTTGTTTCTTAAAATTCTAATACATCATAGACCCAAGATACAGTAATTCCACAAGTAATACAGTATCACATATAAAGCAACAACAAAAGTCACAATACAGTAAGTGCTGCACAAGAAGCTACACCTACTGTACAGTGCATGTTAAGAAATTTCTACACTAAACCAAGACTTTTTTTTTTCATTAAATAAATTAATCATCAGTCTTACAAAGCATCAAAATTCAGTGAGGATAAAATAAATATAACATACCTAATTTACTTATCCATATTATATAACCATACTGTACAATGAATGAAAGCATGAATTATCACCACCACTTGTGTGACTTACCAACTAGGTACTTCAGAGGACTAAGTGCACGAGTGTAACTACCCAAAATACTCTTTTCCTCCTCCTCCTCCTCCTCTTTATCTTCCTCCTCTTTCTCCTTCTCTTTCTCCTTCTCCTCCTCCTCTTCGCTATCCGACTCTGATGAATCGCTACTCTCACTACTGGTGGTTTCTTCACTACTTTCCTCATCTTCTATGTAAGCAGCATGTAAAGGATAAAGCCAGACACCATGATAAACTTTTCTAAGATGTTAATACACTGGGTTTTTTCTTCTTTATCAAGACATAGAAAGTATCTATTAAAAGTCCTACTAGTTTGATAATCACACTAATATGTCAAAAATAAACTTTTCTAGAATGTTAAAGCAACTTTGAAAGAGTAAACAAGAAGTTATCTATCAAGTTGACAGTCACACACTATACTCTCAGTTCTATTCAGACAGTCACATAATCACAGTAACATCCCAACATGCACATGATAGTACTTCATTAATTATGTCACTTGCAGCAGGTTTAGTACGGTTAGGTCTAGCAACATGTCTAACAATGACTGTCCATTGCATTGTGCTGTCATATAGTTCTCAACTCACCTCTGACCCAAACACCTCAATGAATCCCACAGTCATTTTCTAGATAGCCAAAAGATATTTAATTATACATGAAATAATAACTACAGTACATAATCTCTTGAGTAGTTTTAACTGGTTTTCCTCTTATCAACTTACCCTTTTGAAATTCTTTTGGTCTATACCTTGACTCTGATACTGGGTTTGTTTTATTCATGATTGTAATATTTCTTTCAAATATCAAGTGATTCCAGTTTAAAGCACAATTCAGCTGATTTAGTCAATTCCATGAAAGCTGAGATCTATCAAAATGAAAAGAAATTTTTTTGTTCAGTGTAGATTGAAAAGATAGAAAAAAGTAATTATAGTAACGTTTTTTTCTAAATTCCTAAATGGACATCACCGATTCTTTTAAAAGGTAAATAATTGTTTTCTTCTTATTAAATATAAGTAGGAATGTAATCAATGTTGAGTTTAGCTATTTGTAACCCAGGAGGAGTCCACCTCATAGAACACATATGGAGTCACAGCAGTAAACAGTAATAGCAAACAGAAGGTACAGTACAAGATGAAAATTTAAGAATAATTTATAGGAGACACACAGCTTGAACTGACCTAAACCAAAATGATAAGACTGGTGTACTCGAGACAGTACAGTACACAGGAGACAAACTAGGGTAATGTGTGGATGAAGGGACCTTAGAAACATGAAGATTGTGAAGAGATGAATAGAGTCTGTGGAAAAATTAGCAAGAAGACTGAGGATAGTGTCACCACCTGTAAATGGCTGGAGGACAATATGTTCTGTAGACCTAATATCAAGGAATGTGTGAAGAACTAAAGTATACACAAGATTCATAAACAAGTGTGTAAAATATATAAATGTATAGACCAATTGTGAAGCATTAAAGACAGGCTGATGGACAGACACGTTTCCAATACAGTATCCCCAATATACATTATAGGGGAGAGGGTGGGGGGGGAGGGGTTATAAAAAGATGTCCCTCTGATATGGGATGCAAAAAAATAAAAATAAAAAATAAATAAATCTCATACAGCTACAAAACCAGAAGTATTGACAAGAAAATTGATGGCCTATGTGTCCATCAATAAAAGGAAGTTTAAAATAACGTGACATGATACAGTTTGTGCTGCATACATTCCATAGAATATAATTTTCTCCGGGAATCACTTTCAAGAACGCGGGAGGTGTATTTGGGTACAGTACTAATTACATACATCTTCGTCACTTGAGGTGTGCCATGTGAGGTGTGTTAGTGCACTACAATCTACTCACCCACATCAGATGAGGATTCATCACCAGACGTACCATCAGATTCCCGTTGATCCTCCCGCTCCTTCTTGTTACTGTGTTCTCGGTGTGGTGATGTTCTGATGGGTAGTTAGGTCGAATTATTGTCACAAAATCAAGATATATTTCGCTTGTTAGTGGATCAAACATTTCCAAATGACGAGGAATATAACAGCATAAAATAACACCTTTAAAAGAAATCAAATGGCATCATCTCTATTATCTGAATATGATAGTTTGTTTGTGTGTAAATATACCTTAACAAATATGAAGAGAGAGTGAAATTATTGCACTTTCAAATATTAACCACTTACTTGCGTTTTCTGGGCGCTGGTTTTACTAATTTTTGAGCCGCCTGTTTTCTCTTTAGTTCATCCATTAATCGTAATAAATTATTATCTGCAACATCAAACGCACTTTGACCCTGAAAAGATCATTGGAACACTATTACACATCAGAATTTAAAGACTTCTTAAATATGAATTATAAAATATAAAGTTTAAAATCTACTAAACACAACAACTTTGAGTTTTATTAACCTTGGAGCAGTTTTTATTTATTTGTTGGGTGTGTATGCATGGGGGGGGGGCCATTCAGTAAAACATCTAAGTTGTACGAGAGTTCCAGTATATTCTGTTCACAAGGGGCAATATCTGCCTTCAGCTACAGTACAGTAATCTTGCTGCAATTTTGATGACCTTTTACGAGTTTGATGAATTCTCACATCTCTAGTCAAAGGAAAATTTTTATAAAAATTATCAATCTTTGATAGTAAGAGCCCTAGTCACTCAACTGAGGTCCAAGGTACATTAACCTTGTCCTCTATGCGAGGCTAAATGGATGCACCTGTACTGGTATTTAGCTCAGATAAGGTCTCAGGGTAATTCTGATGCCAATTACTGTATATTTAATTTTAAGCTTTGCTTTAAGGCAGTCAGTCAGATGCATTTTTACATCTCTATCCTGCATACCATTCAACAGACAAACTTTTGAGAACCCAGGACTGTTGAATTCCTCACTCTCCACCAAGGATTTTGCCCTCAAAGAGTGAAGAACAAGGACTAAAACTTCTACTTAGGGTATCCTGTACTGCAATTGCATGTACAGTCTCTCCAAAAGTATATTTATAGAGGGGTCTGGTGAATTTCAAAATGAACATGAGACTTCTGTTGTCTCAGTAGAATTGTCAAAATTCTTCATCCATTGTCATATTGTCTCCCACAAAATAGTAAAGATACTTTATGGAGTGATTGTACAAGCCAATATAAAAGTTACCATACCACAAAATTTCGAACATCCATATCTGCGTTATTTTCACATAAAATTTCTACAGCGTCCCGTTGCCCCCAGTGCGCAGCTGCATGGAGTGGGGTCCAACCATCCATATCTTGTGAATTGATATCAGCACCAGCCTCTATCAACAAACTGGAAAGAAAATAAATTAGTTATACTGTACTATTTCCATTCTCTGATTTTGTGTTTAAAATCATAATTTTAAAAAATAAGTTAACAGATAGACTGGCTAACTTATTTAGAAATATATCTTCCAATTCTGGTTTAAAATACTGTACATGTAAAGTAATTCCCATCAAATAGCTAAAGTTGTTGCCTTTAATATTAATATAAATATATCTCAAATAACATCATCAAATACACCTGGATGTCACCAGCTTGACTTATAATAAAACATAAAGTACAGTAATGTAATTTGTATACAGTATTGTCCTGTATTTCCAAATTGGCAAAATGCTATGGACAAAAATAAACAATCAACTGATGTTACAACCAGTTAAAATTATGACTTTTTATGTAATAAGGGCAGAAGCAAAGGATGACTGTGATGCAATGAAGAGCTGAAGTATCAAAGTCTATAAGCTCTGAATACAGACAAGGTACCATATTATCAGAATTGAAACGACAATAACGTGACACTGCCACCTGCATCCCAGACCCCAATGTTTATACCCCATAAAAGAGAAATCTACAATTACAGTAGCTACATAATTTTTCACAATTGGCAAAAGTCACGAGTTTGATACGTGGTTAAGTCAGGAATACGTCACATTACAAGATTCGTGTTCTGAAGAATTTTAACATTTAAAAGTTGAAATTTATAATATACAAACTATTGAGAGTAGTTAAAGTTGTTCCTTACTTCATAACTTTGTTGTAACCTTTTGCTGCCGCTACATGTAATGCTACAGCACCAGTCTTTGGGTGAGGTCTGTCGGCGAGGTAACCGTTACTTAGCCACGACTGAGCATCTTCTAACATACGTCGCTCCTCTTCATTTCGAGAAGCATCACAATCAATACCTAAGAAAAAGAACTTTCATTTAACAACTTAACAGGAAAACATGTCAATAAATTCACAAAAATTAACTTAATGAAGAAACATCTAAAACAGTGATGAATTTATAAGATATCTGTGTTTAGAAGCTGCAGCTCTGTCAACCCAATAGTTTTACAAAAATAAAGTCAAACAACTTTACTTAACCCGTTCAAATAACTTTCCATTAACTAACAAGCTACCCAGGTGATGGATGGTAGGTTTAGCTCAATATACAATACAATACATAATCCAGTGATAATTCTAATTTTCCTAGAATTACATTTTATAAACTCCTAACTGAACTGAATATGACTAGGTTAACATTACTAAGTAACTACATGCCTAAAATAAATACTGTAGTGGTACTGAGAGTGCAGCTTATCCACATGTAAAAAAGTAAAAGAAAAGGGAGAGAAAAAAGAAAAAGAGGGAGAGAACATCTGTATATAGATCTCTCACTTGTTAAAATGGAGGCAGTAGCCCTCATTTTCAAGTGTACAGTAGTATGACAACAAAAGCCCTAACCTAACCTAACATAAAGTATAGTATATTCACTACTCCGGATACCAGTCACGCAGTTGAGGTAATGTGAGCCGAGCTGTTGAGTAAGAGTAGTTTCATGTTCCAGAGCTTTGGGAGTTAAACCTGTTTCTATGGTTTTAAATCCTTTAAGTAATGTGTATGCATAAGCTCTTGACATTTCTTTTTTATTCTCACGTGCCTTTTCTTTTCGCTTTGTAGGGAAGCCATAGAAGTGAGAGCACAGACACACACACACATACGGTTATGGTATTCATTCTCTCTAAATGCACCAATTAAAACTTCTTTACATTATTTCTGTACAAAACCAAAAACCTCTGGATGTTCTTCTGTTTCAATGATTAGGAATATAAAACTATTTGTTCATTAAATTAAGAACTATAAAGGGCAAATGTAATAACCATGGTGCTGCACTGGTATTATCAAATTGGTATCCAAGGAAAGAAAAGCAAAATTCCTATAATCATTCACTTTCTCCTGATACACAACAATGGTCATTCCTTACCTCTATCTTCTATTTCTCGTTGTAATAAACTTTCCATTTCATCTGAATCAGCTATATCGATGGCTAGGTCGCCATCATTGTTAACTAGGGAGAGGTCAGCCCCCCGGTCTATTAGGAACCTGTAATACAAGTTATTTTTAGTACCTTACAGTTTGCAGTTTTTCATAAAAACTGATTAAATACCTGGAAACCAACATACAATGACTATCTTTATCAGGTATATTCAGTATGTGTATGTGTGGATGCATTTGTGTACACGTGCTTTATTTATGTATGTGTACATGTGCTCACATGCCTAGACATTGGAGAATATACTAAAGCACATAGTGTATAGAGAGGCAAGATCAAGATTCTACACCCTGAGCATCTCTAGAATCTCAACCTGAACTCTTTAAAGCACCGTATTAAAATTGACACTGACCTAAAACCTGTCCCCGTCAACACTCACTTTGCTATACTGTTGAAGCCACATGAGGCTGTGGCGTGGAGCGGCGTCCACCCCTCCATATCCCCTCGGTTGACATCTGTTCCCTGGTCCACCAGGAACTCCACCATGTCCAGATTGTCGTCTATACATGCCTGAAACAACAACAACAACAACACATTATAACATCTCATACAATCATCTTTATCACAAATGAATACAACAAACTACAGTATAGTTAAAGAGATCAAGGTAAAAAAAAAAGGACTATTATTCCCTATTAAAGAATGTACCATACTGTACTGTATAACCCAGAACTTATAATGTATACAGCCTTAACAACATCAACTTAGAGAAGTCGACTTGTGAAACAGACCTAGGGGTACTTGTAAGCCCGGACCTACAGCCTAGAAAACAGTGCGTTAATGTTCGAAATAAGGCAAACAGAGTACTGGGTTTTATATCTAGAAGTGTAAGTAACAAGAGTGCAGAGGTCTTATTGCAACTATATCTTGCGCTAGTCAGGCCGCACCTCGATTATGCGGTTCAGTTCTGGTGCCCTTATTAAAGAATGGATATAAATTCACTAGAGTCGGTGCAGATTCATGGATGATAGAGAGTGGTAGTAACTCTCGACAGGAGCTGCCATGCACAGGCCAACCGGCCTATTGCAGACTCCTTATTTTCTTAACAATGATTAACAACCGGATTTATCCTCCTAGGTTCTACAGGCAAACCACCAGCCCAGAACAAGAGGAATCACACTTCATCTGTGGAGGGCAACATACTTTTCTTCCTGGACACTTGATATGAGATTTGTTAACACCAACACCTCTATGGTAAAAACTAAAGTGACGACTAATAAATACAGTACAGTATACGGAAGATCTAAATACAGCAAACGGCATGATCAATAATAATTAATAAAGTAAGAAATCCAATTTACCGGTACAGTAACCGTAAATTACCAGGCCAGCGAATATCTCCTCCACCCAGCCCTTGCTATGCCTTATTAAACAAAGGGTAACAACCGAGCCAAAAGTTATCAGAGCGGAAAACCATCTCGACACTTACACATCATTACTCTATATTCACATCCTTGACCACCGAAGGGTCAAGACGTACCTGGTGCTCCTCTGGGAGCAGCCAGGTCAACTGGCCCATACCAACTCCCTCCCCTGAACCCCTCCTCCCCACCAGGAATATCAACAAGTTTTCGCCAGAAGTTAAAATTTTATTTAGGAAAGGAATGGAACCAGTGTTAAACAAAGGTGAACAGTGCTTAAGTCAGTGAGAACAACTCAACAGTAAAAGCCGAGTCGTACTTAAGTTAAAGTTCACACAGTGAGGTCCGAGGTACCCAGTAATAACTGCCCGTGAGACCCAACAACAACCAACGATGTGTTAATCCGTCTACGATAGGAAGGCCTGGGACCACACCTCACTCATATAACACCATCTGTGAGGGAATTACTACACCACGTCAGGCCCCTCATAACACCAACCGTGAGGGAATTACTACACCACGTGAGGTCCCTCATAACACCATCTGTGAGGGTATTACTACACCACGTGAGGTCCCTCGTAACACCATCTGTGAGGGAATTACTACACCACGTGAGGTCCCTCATAACACCATCTGTGAGGGAATTACTACACCAAGTCAGGCCCCCATAACACCATCTGTGAGGGAACTACTACACCACGTGAGGTCCCTCCTAACACCATCTGGGAGGGAGTTACTACACTATGTGTTTGCTGTTCAACACCTGCATTAATCTGTATGTTCACTTTACCTTTCTCTAATGAAGGCTTTTGTTAAACCACCAATGTATGTAATAAGTCATTTACGCCCAATGTATATTTTCAGCCCTCAGCCTTCAGAACTTTTTCAATAAACCGTTAATTATTATTATTATTATTTATACTGTACTCTCCCTCCGTGTGTGTTACCCCCCCCCCCAACACCTTGACCGAGTATACCCTCTTGGCCCAGAAGTCTTCCAACCTCGTCTTCTCGGCCAGGTATGTTAGGTTCTCGTGGCACTTGAAGACTTTTGATATTTACGTTGTAGCCAAGGGCGAGCGCCACTTGAGGTGGTGTAAGAGCCAAATAACCCACCGCCGTCTTTACCAAATACTTTTCCAACCCCCAATCTTGTCGTCATGATTTATTTTTATTTTTCTTAATGGTACATATACTGAATAAAGAGGGAGGGAGGGAAAGAGAGGGAGGGAGGGAGAGGGAAGGAGGAGGGAGGAAGGAGGGAGGGAGGAAGGAGGGAGGAGAGAGGGAGGAGGGAGGGAGGGATCAAAGTCCTCTGATGGGGGAGGGAGGGAGGGACAGGGCAACAGCTGCAAGGTCATGCCGGAACAGGGAGGCTGCTATCTCTCTCGCCCGTCTGTTTGTTTACCATCATCCCGGCCGTCACGCTCTAGCTGCCTCCTCCGACCTGTAGGTACTGAACACCACTCTTCTCTACATTATATTTAACACACTGCATTACTTACCTTGTGCCAACTGTCAACAAACTAACCTAAATTACAAGTTGAAAGTACAGATAATATACTGTATACCCTAACCTAACCTAATCTAATCTAACCTAATCTAATGTAGCCAAGCCAAACCTAACCTAACCTAAACTTAACCCAACCTTAACCATTGAGCATTATTTTGTGTGCTTCAGGTTAAATACACAGCATTTTCAATACATCATCATTTACGGGGTAATTTCAACTTGAGAACCTTTTGAGAATCACGGCCCTGGTCCCGGCCACCCAACAGCCTGTCCCTGTGTGAACCAAACATTACCAGAGTGACCCGCACATCCCGGGGGTGAGGGCCTTCTAAGAACCAACACTGTGAGAGAACTGACAGACTTGCTTGCAGGGGTCACTGAACCAGACCATTACGTACACACACACACATATACACACACACACACACACACACACACACACATTAATGCTAAGTATGGCTCATCGCGGTGCCGGCCATGTCCACAGCTGCCACTAAGTACGGATATCAATACTGTACTGCCATACCACTCACTACACTGTCGGCTTGAGAAACACCGTACGTATGGTAGACGTTGGAGAGACCTGACAGCAAGATCCTAGCACGGAAAACTGAAGACTTTAATACCCAGTTTGTTTGGGTTGTTGGTTAAATGGGACTCTATACTAATGATTAAGGTTCATTAAGATAAGGGCGGGGGCTAGACATCACCCAGGAGTCCGTGATGATTATTTTGGGGTCTAGTATTGTAGCCTCACACACACAATGTCATCCCCTGGTAACTTTGCGACACACACACACACACACACACACACACACACACACACACACACACACACACACACACACACACACACACACACACACACACACACACACACACACACACACACACACACACACACACACACAACTCGTCACTTCTTCAGCAACAGACGAGCTAAGAATAACCAGTTAACAGTCACAATGCAGCCAGACGGATCTATGGTAAATACTGTACCGACCACCACACAGTCTGCCTCCCCCACACACACGTCACATTAAACTGGTTCTCGGAATGAAGACGAAGATCAAAATTACATCGAAACTGCATCGAGATTTTGTAAGCATCACCAGGCACTGTGGCTCGACCGCAATTAAATACTTTCTCATCGTCAAGAGGAAAACACTACTACCAGGTACATGTTTGAGAAATCGTGTTTTTTTTTTCCGTCGCCAGAAGTAACCAACGTTATCAGGTGATTTTAATATTTACGGTAGACTAGCCAGCGTGTATCAACAACCTGCTCACTTGTCGGGATAATGCCCGAGTTACCAGTAGAGGCGGGGCCCAGCATGACAGCCTGTTGTTGCTGTGGTGCTGGGAGATACAACACAGGAATGTGGGGAGTATAAAGGGGGGAGGAAAGGGAGGGAGGGGGGGGGTAATAACTGCAATGAACAGCCGTCATGTACAGCAAACCACAGCATACACTTGACAGCTTCTACCCCTCCCCCTCCCCTCCCTCACCACCTCCTCGGTATTAAGTAGTGCGAAAGAAAGTCGGTTCTATTAAACTTAGCGCATATGTGGTCTTGATTTACAATACCGGGGTTAATAATAATAATAATAATAATAATAATAATAATAATAAAAATAATACTACTACTACTACTACTAATAATAATAATAATAATAATAATAATAATAATAATAATAATAATAATAATAATAATAATAATAATAACAACAACATCAGCAAGTCACCAAACGTTCAGGTATTATAGCGGGCTGGCGTGACATACCTGGGTGATATGGCGTTACTACCTGCCTGCTTGCTTTCTTTCTTTCTCAGGTTACTCGAGTGTATTCTGGACAGAGGCTGTGTTCAGACCCTTACCCGTGTATCTATGACTGGTTGCTATTCAGGCGCACGGAGTTTGTTGCTTAATGATACGAAACATAGTGGCGTGTTTCTCAAAGATGTGATGGAGATGGAGGAGGAGGGTGGAGGAAGAGAGGGGGGGGAGGAGGAGGGGGGAGAGGGAGAGAGAGGGGGGAGGAGGAGGAGGAAGAGATGATGATACTGGTGCACGTGGCGACTCTCCCATACACTTTCATGGATGATTTTTTTTTAATATATAGTTTTAAAATCATTCCAGGGATTGGCTGAACAGGTTTTCGTCTAAAATAAATACTTTAATATTTATCAGTGTTCTGTCGTCCGGTCGCCGTTAGGTTAGCATTAGGGTGACTAATCTTCAGGTGATCCAAAACGTTTATATAAATCTATCATCAACTTGGGGTTTCAAACGATCATTTCACACACACACGCACGCACGCACGCACGCACGCACACCACAAAAAGGGTCTACACAGTTCAACGACATTAAGCGTCACTTATTCTTCACTACACTGACTGCTCCTTATGGCTCGACGTCTTTCACTAAGTAAACTACTCAACAATAAAACTCCTCAAACGTAGATAACTGGACGATTTAAGACTCTCTCTCTCTCTCTGTACAGGACAGGCCACCAGCTCACACACACGGAAGTGACTCTCCTGTCTACCAGCTGGTGTAGTATGTGCAGCCACGCGCCAATCATAACAATAACATGATAACCCTTCTCCTGAATCCAATACGGAGTTAACATAC